AGAAAAAAATTTGATTTTAGTTTTTTTCGCAATTTGAAAAGTTTAGTTCTTTCTGCACATTTTCCATTGTCCCAGTGTTTTTAGAAAGCTATATTTCGGGCTGAAAATCACTTCTTCCGAAAGCAAGTAGCAGGTGACCACGCCTCCTTTTGGGATACACTCCCTGTTTATCGATGAATTCTCCAACAAAACAAAATCAACACAAGACCTAAAAGCTTGTCCAGTAACAGATAATCTCAAAAAATTATTTCGCAACTATTGCATAGCTTTTTTTCAACCAAGACAATGACGAGACGCTGTGCACGTTTTTCCCAGGTGTGTACCGTGTGTACATTCAAGCGTTTGTGTTTTCGTAACGACAAAATGGCGCCATTGAATGCTGTTCCTTTATTCAATGGTGGCAGCATTGCACAAGCCAATGTTTTGAAGTTTTGTGGATGGAACCCTGTTTGGAAAGCCATCAAGTGGCTGAGGGAAGTTGACGTCACTCTAATATACTTTACGGACCAAGCGACATGGCAGGTCACAAAAGAGGCCCGGCAAGCAAGGCGATAAGCCTAAAGGCGAAGACATGACATTAGCAATGCCTTTCAAGCTGACGGCTATTGAAAAAATGACTCTGAGGCTGTTGGTGCCAATAGAAATTCGTTATTCACCAGTTTTTTTACTTTAAACTCAATTATCTCAAAACAGTGTTTTTTAGTACATAGGTACCATTTTTTCCTTAACCTGACATTATAGAGGGTTGATTTTTTATTCCTACCACATACATGGGTGTTCAAAAATACTGAACTAAAATTAAAAACGTGCACCTAGCAGTTTTTGAGTTACGAAGTTTTGAATAGATGAAAACGACTAAAATTTCAGTACTAGAATAAAAATATATAAAAAAAAACTTATTTTAGATTGGTTCAAATAATTCTAGTTCAGTGGATAAAACACAATATTTCGAACAAAATGATATTTACATGACAGGAATACTCCTAATAGTCACCGAGAAAAATGTTCCTCAACATGGCCTCAGATGCATGGGGAGTATAGGACTTACCCTGTGCCCTTAAGGCAATATAATTTTCAAAATGTCAAGAAAGTCACGGGACAAGTCCTTCCAGTCTATATTTTATAGAAACACTAAGCGACAATCGCAATGCTTGTTTTTCTAACTAGCATTGTTTGCTCTCAGCAGCATGATGCGGGCGACGAATCATGCGAAAAGAAATGGCTGAAATGGTTCACTCTAATCTATGAGCACCTTCGTACTGAGATCGAATCTCACCTAAAACAGTGCTTACCCATGTGAACATTTTCTTATATTGGATAAACTGGCATAGCCTGGATGTTGAGGTTTGCTCTTGACAAAATGCCGGTCCATTTAATTTGCAAATAAGCATCACCCTCGCTAATTGATGATTTTTGTTAAATAGAACAAAGTGGGATTTCATGCTCTACTCAATTCGGAAGCTACTTAATCGGACACTTTCTGAGAGTTTAAGTGTGCAATCGTCATAGTTCCACCATTCGTTCCAGTGAAAAAACGCGATAATAAAAACACATACAAAACGCGATAATAAACTTCTATATATTTGAGAAGTTATTTATGCGTGAGGAGCACATAGTTATTTAAATTAGCTTCAAAATAAAAAAAAAAATATTGAAAGCTTTTCCAGATCACCTATAAAGTGTCCATAGAGGATAAAAGCGCCGAAAAAAATTTGCAGAACATCTTTCAGATAACCTAAAAATGCACTTATATATCTTTGAGGTGAGGATCTTCTATTTATGCTGCCAATTCTTCAGACAGGAATTAAGTATATTTTTATTATCATCGATAAATTTGACTTTATGAAGTTCCCATAACCGTCTGAGACGGACACGGAAGGACGATACTCGAAAATACGCCAGCTGTTGAGTCTTCGGCAACGTGCTTTTGTTAGCTGTTTTGCGGTGTAAAATACTGGGTTGCAGGGTATGCGAAAAAACACTGTGGTCACATGATATATCGGAAGGCAAATACACGAAAGGGGCAGAAGTAAGGAGATGACACGCAATTTTTTTCTAAATAATCCCTTACACAACGCTTTACTGCAAAAAGAGATGCTAGAAATGCAGAAAATGATATTCCTAATTAAACATAGATTCCGCGCAGGGCAAACGAAGATCTTTAGAACCGTAATATAAATCACTTTTGGCCATCAGCTTGCCTCAGCTCGAAACGTCGCGAGATACTACCTCGGGAGGCTAATGTTATCTTAGGTTTTACGTGCACTTGTTTTGGGACCTTACCTCACGACTCTGTTCTTTATCAGTCATGTGCTCCAACATTTCATTAGGCTGCCGTATATCATGGCGAGACTGCTATAAATACTACACAACTTTACACCTTGGACGTCTACTGCTGGTGTTGCGAACGTCGCACTTCATCAGAAAGCTGAAGTATTTAACATGGTTTGCACGTGACGTAGTCACACTCTGGTTGTCATTGCGAGTTGTTCTTGCTGAGAAAATCAAATCCGGTGGGGCAAAATGGACGCTGCAAAAGTTTCGCGCTCAGTGCAAGCTATGTATTTGAGAGGCACACATTTTTCTTGTTGGTGCATCGTCGTTAGGCACGGCGCGAGTATCTGGCACGACAAAAACGTGCTTTCTGGCAAGAGTGTTTTTACAAATAAAAGTGTTACCAACTACCCATCTGTCACTATCGTTTCCAGGCCACGCTTTCTAGTCTGCGCCGAAAATACGGGCCAGAGGAATCTTTACGACACAGAATGCTTTAAAACTACCTCCCTCCCCACTCCCCTTTTCTTTAGTTGCTCCTCAAGATACTTATTATTCCTCAGGGATTGCCTGCTCCGTATTGAGTGGTGTTCACTCGACAATTATATTTGTGTCACTTGTTAACAGTAATTCTTCCTTGCTTTTACTTTGCACCATACTGTGAAGTTTAAACAAAATACAGGGCGGTCGAAACTTGGAGAACTTGGGAACGACACTCCTGTGAGACTTAGAGCGGCTGCCAACGTTCGGCTATCCCCGTGAGGCCACTAGGACCTTTCTTCCCAAGTATCCCTCCCGTACACACTAATAGTTCCATGTAACGTCGGACTAATACGTCACATTTAGACCCTTTAACACTTCTATTCTCGGGACAACTTTCTGATGCAGTTCAGCAATAACGAAAACATGTTTGGGAGCCTCAATGGTGTGCATACATGTAAAATGGGTCGTGCAGCATTTTTTTTTACCTTAAGTTCAAAAAATACCGCTAAGATGTAATCCCTGACGTTGATATTTTGCAAAAGCATCCATTAGTTTGCCCCTCGGCGAAATGGCAGACAGTCGAAAGGAGGAAATGAAACAGCTTTCCCCTCCTCAACCCGCAATTAGAACTATCAGCCACGTGATCTGATCCTAATATATACACCGTCAGTGTTTATCATAGTCGTACGCAGGGTTGGCAAAGCAGAGAGCATGGGCTGATCTTCAGATATAGTTTTAGTAGGGCTATAATGCCCGAGCCCCACTAAAGCGACAAACAGAAACAAATGACAGCGGCTAGCCTTAAACCAGAGTATTTCGCGATTTGACAGGCTTTGTAGAATAATGAAGGCTATTCTCAAACACGAGTATCATGCACACGATGGTACCATTTGCAGGCTTTAAACGCTCGTGCTAAGTTCGCGAGCACCGAACAACTCAAAGCCGTATAGAGGTACCATCGCGAACATGCTGCATGTGTCTGAGGCTTATCGCTGTTGTTTGTTTCTGTTTCTAGCTCTAGTGGGACTCGGGCCCATCATAATCTTTCAGTTGAACACGAGCCGTTACCCGAATGTTTGGCGATGCTGGTTGTCATGAACCAGAGCATTCAACTCGGGATCATGACAATAGGGTACACCATGGTGTCACGTTACTCTCAGTGCGAAGTTGTGATGTCACGTGACGTCACGGTATCAACAACGTTAATAGATCTAGCGACGTCCTCAATTTGAATCGACTTAACGCGGTGAGTCACGTGACGTCACGGGGTCACGTGATGTGACATTACTTGACAGCATGCCTTGACATCATGACGTCACGTGACGATGTGACACATGGCTAATCATAGTGCCAATAAGAAAGCGCCGCAAAAAACCAGGATTTATTATACATTGCAATACTGTATACGACGATTTGATCAATACGTAGGGGAATACACGTGCCAATTTTTTATTCCCAAATAATAAATTTGTAATACTAACAACAAAAAAAAATACCGTGAACCGTTTTGAACCGGTTACCGTTATATTTTTTTCCGGTTCAGTTCCGGTTCAGTTCCAAGATGGCGGCGAAGATTTCGGTTCGGTTCAGTTCCGGTTCGGCAAAAAATAACGGTTCTGTTCCGGTTTTCGGTTCGGTTTCGGTTCCGGTTCGACACCCTGCTTGTAGGCCTCTTGAAAAACTTCATGCAGCACGAGACAAATCTCGTTCTTGTGCACTTTATAAAACTCAGCGATTATCCCGTCGGGTCCCGGTGTTTTTCCCTGTGGGAGAGCGTCCACAGCATTTACAATTTCTTGCACACTTATCGGTTCTTCAAGGGTTTCAGCAAAGTCTTCACTCAGTCGCGGTAGTGACGTTATCAATTTTGCAAGACCCTTGGTATCGTCTGCGAATGCGGGACAGCTCAGCAGTGCTCGATAGTGATCAAGAAAGACGCGTTCGATCTCCTCCTTATCAGTGACGATTCTGTTTCTGTGCTCTATCTCTAGTATTTCCTTACTCAGTGCGTGCCTCTTTTCGTCTTCCAACGCCTTCTTTGTGGGTTGCTCTCCCAAGAGAAACTTTTCTGCCCTCGACCGCACGACCGCGCCCGCGTACCGTTCCTGATAAAGACTGTCAAGCTGAGCTTTTATGTACTCTATGTCTTTTGTTCCGCAGCCAGGATTTTTGCATTCCAGCTCGTATAAAAGATGCAAGTCACGCTGGAGTTGCTTTTCTTTTTCGTGCTTGTAATAATTAAGCGTGCTTGCTCTTTCGATTGCCAATTGTTTTGCGTCTTGCTTAAAGGTTTCCCACCTCGCAAAAATGTTTTCCCCGTTTTGACCTGCTTGTCTAAGTAATTTTCGCGTTTCGGACACGAAAAACTCATCTTTAAGTAGCTGAGAATTTAGCTTCCAAAGTTTCCAATTGATGCGCTTATGCTTCCTCCGTTTTTGTCCAATCGTTATCGCAACCATGCAGTGATCTGTGAATAACACAGGTTCCACAGTATAAGCATTTAAAAGTTGTATTAGTTCAATAGAACAATACAACCTGTCTAGTCGGGCATGCGACGCCCGTTGAAAGTGCGTGAACTGTATGAGTTTGGTTCCTGTTTGAAAGTTGGCTACGTCTAACAAGCCTCCCTCTTCGACTACTTCGAGCAATAGTTGTTCACTTCTATCAAGATGGGGCCTGGTCGGCGTTCGGTCATTTAAGTCGCAAACACAATTGAAGTCTCCAAGGAGTACAACTAGTCTATCACACACCAAGTATGAGCGCAAGTGATTGAAAAACTGAACTCGAGAATTCACATCGTTTGGTGCATACACACAAATCACCCGCCACTTGCATTCCTGCACCCGGAAATCACACATAACAAAGCGGCCCTGCAAGTCAACCGTCAGAGCTAGTTCGCTTAACTGAACTGACTTTTTTATAAACAAGAAACACCCTCCCGAAAGACCGGCAGCATGGCTGACACATACCTCGTATTTTCTAAAAAAAAGTGGTAAAGCGCGGTCAACCTCTTCCTCATTCTCTAGCTTTGTCTCTTGTACTGCTAAAAAGTCAATCTCCTTTTCTTCGAGTAGACGGTGTAGCTGATTCTGCTTTTTCCTCGAATGAAAACCGCGTACATTTAAGCTGGCGAAGCGGAAACCGCCCATCGCTGCTTAAGGGGGTGGCTTTTCCTGGGCTTGCCGCGCAAGCGGCTTCGACACGTTTATGCGCTTACTTGCGTATGTGGCCCCCGGTTCCAATTTCTTTCGCTTGACGTCACTGACACCAGTTCCCAGAGCAGAGTTTGTGTCCACTCCGTTCCCTTGACCCTCGGTAAAGGGACCTGCTTGCTTGGTTTCACCTTGGTCTCGGTCGTCCAGCTCCGAAGGTGTAGCAGCACTGCCGCAGTTACTGCCTTGCTCCATGGAAGAATCATCCCCAGTCTGCGAGGACACAGGTATGACTCCTGGGTCTTGTGGCTGGTGGTCGTTGATGGCGCCGGTCTCGCCTGGTACGGAGGGAAGACTGTTTGCAGGGCCGCCCGTGGACGCCCCCACTTCGCCGTTGGCTCCCACTACTTCGGACACGTCCATGAACTGGTCGAGATTCGATTCGGCATCCTCGTCCCCGCGCCTCAGCACCGTGGCGTAGGTCGCGTAGCACTCGTTGTCTTCGTGACCAAATTTGTTGCACTTGGTACATTTTGGTGCACGGCACTGTTTCCGGATATGGCCTACTTTTTTGCATCGTAGGCAAAGCGGTGGTCTTCCAGGCACAATGACAAGGGATTGCACCCCATATACCTTGATCATATGGGGCAGGTCGGAAGAGCTGACGGCGTCATGCAGCGTCATGCTGACTTCTCTGTTCATGGTTTCCAAGTGTTCCATTCCCGGGACTCGCCATTTCTCCCTAACGATGTTACGAACTTTACCGTAAGGCTCGAGAGCTTCCACCACACGTCTGTCTTCCAGATACGTTGGGAGCCAAAGTAGCCTTACCCTAATGTCCTTTGCGTTGGGGTCCAGCACCAGACACTTCCGCCCCTTGACCGTGAGTTGTCCAATCCTTTTCATCTTTTCTGTGGCAGCCATGCTTGCGAGAGTGATCATCCATATGTGGCTCATTTGGAACTGTCCAATTGAAACCACGTCCGTCATGTCCACGATGTCCTTCAGTCCGTCTCGAAAATCCACAGCACGGTACGGTCTTCCCATCAGGTCCGCGTGCAAAAACACGGAATTCAGACACATTTTTCCATCTGGGAAACGGGGCAACACCACACGATACTCATCGCTACTGCTGGCTGCAGCGTCGATGCTTCCTCGGCCCGCGTGGGCCGATAACGCGCCGTTATCGGAGCGAATCATCGTCCGTCCGCTCTCGTCGAAAGCCGGAAGCGAACTCCCCGACTACGGTAGTGGTTATGGCGTACGCCAAAATCAATACCGTAGTCATTTCGGCGTACGCCATAGTCAATACCGTAGTCTTTTTCGCATACCCCAAACACACTACCCTTACGCCAAATTCAATACCTTGAATAACGTCGGTTCAGCAGGGGTTGAGCCAATCCGTATTTCGCTAAAACTGGCGGAAGTAACTTTCTGCAGCAAAATACCCTGATTGTTTGTTGTTGTTTGTATGAGCAGCGGAACGCGCGCGGCAGGCGTTGTTAATTTTGATTACCGTTGATACGGCTGACGGCGCACAGAGCTGAAGGGCACAAGCAAGGAAGCTTGGAGTGATTCTGTGTCAATGTGATTTGACGTCGCTTCTTTCTGTTTCTTCAATCATGGTGCAAACGCAGGTGCCCGACTCCCGAACGATTCGAAGGCAAGAGTGGTAGCCCGCCTATCCGCTGGTCTTTCAATCGCATGCCCTGTCGTCATTTTGGGCACAGCGGAAGAAAATAAGACGCTCACTATTTTAAATAGCGTGCGATCGGCCTGTCTAGGTTTTGGCGACACCGTTTCAGGCTGTAGATGAGAAGATTTAGCCACTACAGTACGACTGCTAGCCTGGGGTCTGTGCCTCACAACAGATCGAAACGGGTGGGGGTGGGGATCCCTGGCAGCGGGACCTTTCGCTGTACGAGCTGCGGTGCGCTAACACGCTCGACCTCCGATACCCCCTTGGGTCACAGCGCTTGCTGAAAGAAGTTTGGATCGTTTTACGCAGATTTTGCAGTGCGTACGAGACGCACAATAGCTACGTACTATGTCCTAGATGCCCAAACTGAGGCTCGCTACTTGTGCGCGGCTCTCGTGATCTGGGGAACAGTATGCTCGCTATGAAAATGTTGCAGTGAGAAGTACGAAAAAGTAATATTATAAAAGAAGAGTATTTTAAACTGGCTTGCATTGTCACTGAACATATGAAAATAAAACTGATTAGGAATGCCGATCAGATCGAGTGGAAATGTAATATATTGTGCTCAAGTTATGTGTGAAGTTGCGTCGGCACAGGAATTCAAACTTGTTGGCCCCACCCCTGCTCCTAAACTCTTCCAATGTTGCTGGCAGTTTTTTTTTAATTATTATTATTATTATTATTATTGTAACTTCAAAGGTCCCAACAGGGGCATTACATAAGGAGCGGGGGGGGGGGGGGGAAGAAGTACATGAAAAAAACAAAACATCAACATATAAACAGACAGGTGGCTTACACCGACAGGGCTGGTGAGTAATATAAACAGTGAGAACAAGTGTGTCTGAAATAAAACTGGTACATAAATACACTAGCTAAAAGAGTAATCGAAGCATTGCGGAACAAGACAGGGTCGCCTATTGCCGGGCTGAACCAGGGTAATCACCGACACACCAAGCATTCCGGAGCTTCCAGTCGGGCTCGGTGTCCTGAAAAGCGCTTCAGGTGCTCAAAAACAATAGACCCCCGAAGGAGCCCATAGAATTTGAATGGGTACCTGCCCACTCCGTGGTAGAGGGCAACAAACTTGCTCACCAGCAGGCCTGCGCGCTGACTTACCGGGCCACAGCCATGGAAGAGGTGCAGGACCAACCCATGGTGACCTAAAAGGAAATAGTAGTTGCACTCTACTGCAAGGAAAGGCGAAGACTGCCAGCCCCGCATCCTAAGTTAACGCTGGAGGAACAGGTAGCGTATAGGCAAAGTCAGTCAGGGTCCTTCCCCCACCCCCTTTTACTCAGTCGCATATGTTCCCCACTCAATACAGTGGGAACTGCCCAGTGTGCCAAGAGATAGGAACCCTCCGTCACAAAATAGGCGAGTGTAGATTCAATCAAGACCACCCACTACCCCCACCCTTCCCCCTGTAGAGTGATGAACTTGCTGTCCAGCCCTGCCCTGGAGAATCAGCTTCAATTGGTCAACAGGGGCCAGGCAGACAAGGCAGCATATAGGATCTCGTGCAGGGGGAAGCCCTTCCATCCGGCACAGACCACCGTGTTGAAATGCTCAGAATAAAAGTTTATTCTCTCTCCCTCTCTGATTGGTTGAAGTAGTTTGTGATCCGAGATATATGTGATATGGGGGGGGGGGGGGGTTTAGTCGTGACGATGCTCTTCTAGGAGGAAGTAGGAGTGAGTTATGAAGCATTGGATTATAATAGAAAATTTTATGAAATGGGGGTTAAGCATGATATCTTATGGCGCGACTTATACAGCTGGAATTTCAGTGCAGAGACATTAGTTCTTCGGTAATGATCATTAAGAATCAACCTAGCTGTGCGATTTTGAACTGACTCAAGATGGTTAATGGGATAAATTTGATGAGCATTCTGAATTGCTGCTGCATACTCGAACTTTGGTCCAACGTAAGTCTCATATGGCATTTTCTGGAAATGAGATGGTGGCACCTTCAGATTTCTTTTGATATACCCGAGAGTGTGTGAAGCCTCTGCTGAGTCTGTTTCAATGTGTTGCACCAAGATATTTATAGATGGAGGCAGGCAGATATGATTAGTCCAGAGCCAATGGAATACGAAAAATATGGTGTTACATGTTTCCAAGTAAAGCGAAGTACTTTACATTTTGGCATGCTTAATGACATAAGTCATTTGAAATACCAGGCATGAATCAGGTCAAGGTCACTCGGAAGATTCAAATGGTCATCAGACAAAATAATTTTGCGATATAGGACACAATCGTAAGCAAAGAGACAAAGCCTACAATTGATAAGTCTTTAATAAAAATAAGAAACAGTAGTGAACCTAGTAATGCCCCCTGTGGAATCCCACATATAACGTTAGTAAAATTTGACATGTGGTTGTTAGCCAGAGTGCGAGAAAAGAGAAAGTCACGAATCCACGAAAGGACCAAAGGGTCAATACCCAGGATAGAAAGTTTTGAAATTAGATGACGATGGGGAACTCTGTCGAATGCCTTCGAGAAGTCGAGGAATACAGCACCGGTTTGGCCCTGCGAGTCAAGGTTAGTGACTAACTTGTGTTTGAGTTCAAACAGTTGCGTCTCGCATGAAAAACCCCTACGAAATTCATGTTGATGATTGTAAAAAATATGATTGACTTCTAAATATGATATGGAATGATAGTTTGAGGCCAGCACACGATCACCGCTTTTAAAGACCGGAATGACCTTCCCCAGCTTCCAGTCCAATGGTATACGCCGTTCCACCTTCAGTCCGAGCACACTGGATGCCACGAGCTATCCGAGCCGATCCAGCATCGGGAGAAAGTCGTGTGACCTTTCAGTTGGCCAGAGCGACGCAGGGAGCTCAAGGTCACGTACATGACACTCTCTCAACGCTAAATTGGCTGGGATAGCTCCTAGCGTCCGCTGTGCTCGGACTGGAGGTGAAACAGAGTATAGGCAATACTGCTGTAATGACTAAGAAAATATGAATGCGAGGAATTCACTAGATATTACTTTGGTGTTGCTAAGAATTTTGGGGCTAATATTGTCTGGACCACAAGATAATGAGAGTTTTAAACCTATAGGTCAAAGTATTCTGGAAGCAGAAATGTTAGTGTCAATGGGGGCCATGGGCTCAAAACCAGAGCAAGGCAAACTATATAGGTATATGATCAACGCTTTCGTTTGATAGTATGAAAGAGAAATATTTGGTTAAAGCTGTAGCGCAATGTGGCTCAGACACGGCATCTACATTTTCATTCTTTAGTCGGATAGAGTCAGTGTTATCTCTGGGTGAAAATACCTTCCAGAACTTCTGGGGGTTACTTCGCAGAAGTCTTGGCAGGCCCAAAGAAAATAACTTTTTTTTCGTCAACCTTACGCTCTGTACAAGATTTGAGACATGAAAAATATTTGTCACGGACTTTGGTATTATTTGCTTTTTTAGCTCTCCTATACATGCGCTTTTTTTTTGTTATTTATAATGATTGCAAAGTTTTATATTGTACCAGGGGTTATGCCCGTCGCTGTGTACAATAACATTCGGAACAAATTGTTCAGTTAAAATATTAAGTTCGTTTTTAAATAGTGACCAGTTTTCTTCCACCGATCTTGAACGAAGGTTTTCGACATACGACTGATAGAACGATTACACGTTCCAATTTATGGTGACGTAGTAATCACCTTTGTTATAGCTCACGAATTGTTTGAACAGTTGGGCTCAGCGTCGGCACAGGGATAGATAACTCGATGATCAAGATGCCGTGGTCACTTAAGCCAGCAACACAGTTGACAGTTTTTATTATTTCTGGTGTGCTTGTAGGGGTACGGTCAAGAATATTGTCGCCACGGGTGGGTTGTTCAACAACTGGGGTGAGGTTAAAATTCAAACAGTTATTGAAAAACTCTCGTGCAGCAATCGAGCTGCTCGTGGTAAGATGAACCCAGTCAATGTTTGGAAAATTTAAGTCGTCAAAGATAGCAAAGTCTCCTTTTGGGTAAAGACTCTAAATGTCGAGCAGCATGGTGCGCAAAGTGTCGCAGTGCTCAGAATTAACCATTGTTTTCGGTGCCCGATAATACGATGGGCAGGAGATCAAACTATAAGGGGTACTTTATTTGAACTTGTCCCCATAGCCCGGTGTTTACTACCAGAGCATAAAAAAGAAATTGAACCTAGTCATCAGTCGTGGGCACGTTAACAGCAAAAAGGAACAGTGTTACAGTTACAGTTACCTAGGGGGGAAAAGTAACACTGTTATGGTGACAGTCACCGGCTTCAAAAACTAAAATGTTACAGTTACTGCAAAAAGAGTAACGCCGTTACTTTCTTGTCACAGTACAAAAGTTGGACTTAAGAAATCACAAACCAAAAGAATATTATTTTATTTGTTACACTATACAGTAAGAAGAAAGGTAAACTGAGAAATTAGAAAAATTTAAACCCAAAGGGTGTTTCTTTTTTTTGCGTGATTTGCCATTTCAGCATTTTGATGTGCACAATTTATTTGCAATAATTGATAAGCCAATGCTTTTGATGAGCG